TTGATTGATTTGATTTCTGGTTCTTTGATGTGTAGTGGATTAGAGAGGGGAAATGAGAATCGACTAGCGAAGCTTGCGATTGTTACTCTGGCGGCTGGGGTTTTGACATTGGGATCGGTTCATGATGCGTCGGCCGCTAAGACCGGTGGCCGAGTCGGCGGCCAGGCGTTCCGGTCGGCGGCTCCTCGGTCTTCGTCGCCGAGAATCAATAACAATTCCAGGTATGAAAGATTGTTAGTAATTTGCTTTGAATTTCGTTAGTTGAGTTGATGATTGGTTTGAACTTTGATGCTCTGTTGAGAACAGTATATGAACTGAAATTTATGAAACTATTACAAAAATGATTGAGACTACATTCAAACTACAAATTATAAGGGACTAAACTGAAATTGACTCGAAAATCATGAGATTTCTAGAAAAGTTAACTAAGAATCAATTTTAAATTTTATTGGTGTGAACTAAATTTGAATAGCTAAAAGTTTAAAGACTAAAAGAGAATGAATTCTATAGTATAGAGAGGGAAATGATAGTTTAAGTACACCTTTACAGTAAAGTCAAGAGACAAGAGAACAAAATTGTTCTTGTTCTTGTTCTTGTACTTGCATAATTTACCACAATTTAGAAGAAACAAAAACGTGTATCTTTTTGAAAATTACTTCATTTTGCTTGACTACAACTACAAAGGTCAATTCTTATACCTATTTATACTTGTAGGAAAATACGTCAATGTATTAAATTATTCATGTATCTCAACTATTCGTGTATCAAACATGTGTTTAGGTTAATTCTAACCGTATTAGGGCTCGCTTCTTATGCTATAATCATTGCTCACACCTTATTTAACTTCGGGAGAAGGGTACAGCTACAACTCTAAGAACTTAGAGCTTGAACTTTAGAAACCCGAAAGATATCTCTAAACAGTTTACGCCTTACTATAAGGGTTACTTTTGGGTGAATAAGAGTGATTGAAATGACTTCTGAAGTGTTTAAAAAGACATTTTTAATCATAACAGCTTGTTTCTGATCTTGCTTGTTATGCTATACTCATTGTTCACGCCTTACGAACTTTTGGAAAAGGCTTCCGCTACAACACTCTAAGAACTTAGAGCTTGAGATTTAGAAGCTTGAAAGATATCTCTACACCGTTTACGCCCTTACTATAAGGGTCACTTTTGGGTGAATAAGAGTGTGTTTGAAATGACTTCTCAGTGTTTAAAAAAATTTTTGTAAATACGACGGATCGTTTCTGATCTTGCTTCTTATGCTATATTCATTATCCACACCTTACTAACTTTTGGAAAAGGCTTCCACTACAACACTCTAAGAACTTAGAGCTTGAACTTTAGAAGCTGAAAGATATCTCTAAATCGTTTAAGCCCTTGGGTCACTTTTGAGTGGGTTTGAAATGACTTTATAAGAACTTAAAAAGACATTTTTAGATACAGCGGGTTGTTTCTGATCTTGCTTCAAATCTATGTTGTGTTTGATTCGACAGGACAAATATCTACATAAACCCGAGAGTAGCGCCTCCTCTAGTAGGTGGGTATGGTTATGGTGTGCCATACTATGGAGGAGGATGGGGATGGTCACCATTTTCATTCTTTGCACCAACCCCAAGTGTAGCTGTAGGCATTGGAGGAGGTTTTGATGTTCTTGTTCTCTTCATTTTTCTTGGAACTGTTGCAGCTTTTGTGAGAAGGTTCCTTGGAGGAAGAGAAGAAGATGATGATGATTATTAATGCTGCCAAGACCTTATGCTTGAACTTCAGGTTTTTGGTGGGGAGATATACTTTTTCTTGGTAAAAATTGTCACATAATGTATTTTTATGAGGACAAACTTTTTGAAAAGCATAATGTATAAAATGTATAGTTATTTATATGACTTTTTGGAAATTAAAAGAAATTAAGAAGAAAATGTGAAACTAATCAGATTTTGGAAAATGTTTGAATGCAATGGAAGGAAGCGAACCAGGCAATGACATGTGTCAATAGAGAGGAGGAGGAACACGTCGTTGCCAGCAAGGACGTGTCAAGTTGGGAGATGCTTAACACGTCACAACGCTAGCAGTAGACTCGAACCACGAACTCGATTCAACCCGCTTGCCCAACTTGAGAACTAATGCATGACCTGGTTTAGCACCTGCAACCCAACCTGCTTTAGAATCGTCAATTCGCATGCATCACGTGTTGTGGCTAGAAAATCAAACAAAATTAGCACTCGAGGAGTCTCGAATGTATACCCTAGGAGCTAAACGTGCCAATCCGCACATGTCATCCCTTGGATGCGACTACCCTTCCTAAACCGTGCGTGGTACTTCCACGTGGCCCCGTGCATGCAACCTACCCTATGCGTGTAAAAGCTCTTAACACGAAGAGTGAGGTTTTCGCACCCTCAAAGTTTTAAAACGCATCCATCCAAAAGAAGTTTTCACACCCTAATTGGGATCTCACATTCCTAGGCCCTAATAAAAACACATGATAACTTATTAGGTTAAGAAAGCAATAAGAGCTTACAAGTAGGTTTCTTTTCGAATTTCTTTTTCGGTTAGAGTAAGAAGGTGCTCAGAAACTGCGTTCGTATTTTTATACTTTTATTTGCTTTCGTCTTATCTTTTAGTCGTGATCAGAAATCGAAATCTAAAAAAATCGAGTCATAGCAATAATATTAGCCATACTTGGAGATTTAGTTCTATTTTTAATTTTTTACAAACAATTTTTGTTAACTTAATTAATAGTTCTTTTTTATTAAGAGAATCTGACCGAAAATACTAATTTAATATTAAAATTTAGATTACATAAACAAAATCCATTGTCGTCTAGCCGTTAGGATATTTGGCTTTCACTTAGGAGACGGGTTCGGTTCTTCCTAGCAATGGAACTTTTGTAATGTTCTATTCTAAGATTATTTCAATTTTCTCCTTCGGTACCTAATCATTCTCTAAGAATATTTCAATTTTCTCCTTCGGTACCTAATAATTCTATCTTCAGAATCGGGTCACACAAACGTTTAAAAAAATACTATTAGTATAGATATAAAATTGTTTGTACCACATTTTAAAAAACACGAGAAATAAAAAGACAATTTTTGTTCATATACTTACAATAATAACTTTTTTGAATTTAGTAAAGATCAAAATTGTTAAATTACTTTTAAAATTTCATAAGTATTGGTACTAACCATAAGAATAATTTTGAACTTTTAAAAATGTTGAAATGTATTTAATAAAGCTTTTTAAATTTCAAAACATTATTAAAAGTTAATAGTGTTTCTATAACAAAGTACTAACGGTTTCTATCCAAAACTGTGGTTAAGGATATTTTTTATTTTTTAAAATTTTAAGAATTATATATATATTAAACATGTTTCTATATTATAAGATTACTCATTTGGAAGGTAAAAGTGAAGAAACAAAACAAAGAACATAATAATACAGAAAGCAAAACAATTACATGAATTTATAACAAAATGGTAATGGTAAATATGGTTATTTACCAGAAAATATACTAAAATTTTATGTTCATATGAATTTTAGGAGGCCACAGCCATCCACACAAAAGCCACATACAGTTCTATTTTACTCTCTCCTCCAAAATCCATCTTCCAATCCAAAATATGGAAAACAAATAAGAACAAGAGAGGGCAGATTGTCCTGCCAACATCCACTACTTATTTCAAACAATTCACCTGCAACACAGAACAATGCACCAATATTATTATTATACCTAAAAAAAGGAGACTCAATGTTCATAATACTAAATTCATCGATTCGATTTCATTATAACAAATGATACTATCGAGAGGAGTTTAGTTACTTAAATCCAAGTTTGAGATGACTGATGAAAAGTACTTTTATCCCATAAAAGTGGAAAAGAGTATCTTTTCTCGAGTTTGAGATGACCGATGAAAAGTACTTTTACCCCATAAAAGCGGAAACGAGTATCTTTTCTCGAACGTCATTCCAAACTCGGGTTTAGAACTCTTTGAAACTATTAGCTTTTCGATTCTGCTTAAACAAGCAAAGCAATGTCCACAAACGTGTTTACGGGGATGTTTTATAGTGATTTTGAAATGGTTCAAATCACTTTTGTTGTATTCAGAATCACTCACAAAAACGTTTTTAGTGATTCAAAATATATTTTGATAATAAGGAAACAAGTTTACGTGTAAAATGAAACATTAAAATGATTATATGAAAATCATTCTTAGTACCACCCTTTTTAAACAATGTTAACCACAAATAATAAGTTGGTTAGTTCCCTTATCTTTACCTTGTCCATGGAGCAAGACAAGCTGCAAAGTATGAACAGCCATGATAAAGCCAAGAGAAGTAAAGTGGTACCTGAAACATGAGCAGGAAAACAGAATGATGAAGTTCTTCAGATGCCGTGGAGGACTTTGTGAGGATCGAGCTGCCCGCTACAATAACTTGAAGGAACAGCAGAGAGTTCGAGTCTTCCTCTCCATTCTTCGCCAGGTTTCAGTGCAATAGGCTTTTCGATGGCAGCACCCTCCACACACAGCATGAACTTGTACTCTTCATCTCCAAAGTCAGCCATTGCCTTTGCTTTCTTATCCCAAGGATTCCAGACCACTGCACCAGTAAAATAACTATGTCACCTATTTATTGCCTTTGCTTTCTTATCCCAAGGACTTCTTTAGTCCTGTCTTTTTAATAATGTCTTATTTTCTTTTGTAACCCTGATTTTCCTTGGATGCTTCCATCCCTTTTTAATATTTCATTACTTCTACGGCATTGTGTTCCTTTTTTAAGAAAGGATGGCTGGACAAATGTGTTACTTTTTTAATATTTCATTACTTCTATGACATCGACTTCTATTGTCCAGCCAATCTTTTTTTCAAAAAAGAAACACTATATCATAGAAGTAATCAAATATTCAAAAGGGATGGAAGCATCCAAGGAAAATCAGGGTTACAAAAGAAAATAAAACATTATTCAGATAGATCTTGAGTGTGAGATCCCACATCAGTTGGGGAGTAGAACGAAGCATTCTTTATAAGGGTGTGGAAACCTCTCCCTAGCAGATGTGTTTTAAAAACCTTGAAGGGAAGTCCGGAAAGCCCAAAGAGGACAATATCTGCTAGTGGTGGGCTTGGCCGTTACAAATGGTATCAGAGGCAGACACTGGGTGATGTGCCAGCGAGGAGGCTAAGCCTCGAAAGGAGTAGACATGAGGCGGTATGCCAGCAAAGACGTTGAACCCCGAAGGGGGGTGGATTTGGGAGGTCTCACATCGATTGAAAAAGGGAATGAGTTCCAACGAGGACGTTGGACCCCAAATGAGGGTGGATTGTGAGATCACACATGGGTTGGAGAGGAGAACGAAACACCTTTTATAAGGTTGTGGAAACCTCTCCCTAGCAGAAGCGTTTTAAAAATCTTGGGGAAAAGCCCAAACAAGATAATATCTGCTAGCGGTGGGTCTGGACCATTACAAGTAGTTCTCAGCCAAAAGGATCAAGAACCAATTATGACTGATGATTAAAGTGGGGAGGCTATTGTACATCTCAGACTCTCTCGTTTCTGGTGATCACAAAGGGGAAAAAAATAAATAAGTAAAACAGACTTGGGAATTTCTTACCAGCATCTGGAAGTCCTTCTTTTCGAACCACAAAAGTCCTCTTCTTCTCATGATCCAGAATTGCAATCTTGGTAGGAGTGCTAAGATATATCTTGTCCACCTAATTGAACCCAAACACAAAAGAGAATGTCTGAATACAATGCAATGAGTAAGAGAATGAGAAGAGAGATATAGTACTTGAACTCACTTCTGATTCAAAAGTTAAAGCATCCCCCTGTTCAGTAAAACGCTCTCTATGTTGCAAGTTGTCAAGATAGTCCAAGGTCTCCAGACCTTCCACCCGAACTTCACTGGCCATAGGCAACTATCTCTCTTAGATACAAGATAAACGAACTTTGAATTACTCTCAACAAATTTTCAAATTTTATTCTGCCCATAAATGAAAATGAACTGCAAATATAGATGGTTTACATAAAAATAATAATAATAATGATAAACCTCTTTTCTTTCTATAGAAGATTTGTAAAATGTTCAGAATTTAATTTATTTGAAATTTTTAATTCTCCAAATTAGCTATTTTTTAACAAAGAAACCTCCGCTGGAATATATTAACAGTCAAAACGAGAAATCTTTCACATGCAAAGTTTTTCAATGAAAGACATGAAATAAGAACATCGAAATAGAAGTTCTTTTTTATGAGAAACAAATATATATAAATGGGCATCCAAGAAACAGCCCAGATAAAGGAGCCACAACAACTGACTGGCTTCAATCTTAAAGAATAAGACCTAGCAGACAATTACACAACTCTTTGATAATCAAAACCCAAAGAGAAACATTAAACCAAGCTAAGGACCAAACCTCATTGCTAGATTTGACCTCTCCGTCCCCTAAAAATCATATTATTCAATCTGAATCCAAACGTTCCTTAATATGCAAGAAAACCGGCCCTCAAAAAAGAAACTAAACCTTGTCAGAAGGACAGATAGAAAAGAACTTAGTGAATCATAAAAGTATTTTCTACTATTGGCTAAAGAACTCCCAACTACGCCAAAAAACCCTCTCAAACCGAAGAGGCAAACTAACATCTCCAAAGGACGTGATTGAAATTCTTAGCTCACATTTGCAAATAATGCACCTATGCGAGCCCAACAAACAAGATGAATGCCTCTAAATTCAATCCATTGTTTACAACTTCCCTAGTAAAACCTACCAAGTAAAGAATTTGACCTTCTTGGGAAGGTTAACCTTCCAAAATGAGGAAAAAAGTGGAGGCCTGAGGGAAGCAAGGTTGCACAAAAGATGGAAAAGATAATTACAAGAAAACCCTTCAGAAGAACAAGAAGCCGAAAAGAAAATATCGCTTTACCTCAAATCCATAAAATCTCCTAATAAAGAGATGAGATTCATTGCATCAAACATTTCCCTATTAGATCATGGATGCAAAAACCAAGAGAATGCAAGGAAAAACAACTACCAACTATAGAAGGCAAGATGGATGCCACTAAATGCAACCTTGTCAAGGATAAACGAAACAGATGAGAAAGGATTTACAAAGGACTACCTCCAAAACTGTGTACTTAACATTCCTAATAAAGGATTTCATAAACTAAGAGAAGAAAGGAAAAACAAGCGAAATCGTAGTACAGAGGTTACTAAATGTGCCTTTAAATCCACCACTAGTAATACAATTGAAGGGATGGAAACAATACTTGTTCACAATAATCCTATGTCAAAGAGGGTCAGGCTCCAGGAGAAAACTCCTCAACCACTTAGCTAAAGGTGATTCATCGTACAATCTCAAGTTTCCTATCCTCAAAACCCCATGGTCCACTAATTTTGACACCACCTCCCACCTCAACAAGTGAGAACCCCCACTCTCCTCATCTCCTTCCAACAAAAAAAAAAATTCTCATGAACTTTTCAAGCTCAAGCTAACATAATCAAAGACTTTAAGCAGGGATTGGAATTTCGAGACCCATTCATAAGAGACCGGACAAGTCATAAGAGTCGATCAGCCTCAGTTTGAGAAAAACCACTTTTTCAATGATGAACGACATTTTTAAATCTTCAACATACAAGATTCCAAAACGTCAAGCTCTTGGGATTGTGACCAAGAGAAGTCCCAAATGAAAAGAAGTGAAGCTACTCACATCACATCCTACCAAATAGGCCCACGCCAATAGCTTAGAATCATCATAATTCAACCCAATGACCAAATACTTCCCTCTATTAATCTTAAGGCCATAAATGGATTAAGAAAAAACAAAATACGGTTAAGATTAACAACATTATCCTTGCTAGAGCAAAATAAATATTGTGTCATCAGCAAACTGTAGATGCAATAACGCATTTCCCTACTCCCCTAGAGATCAAATGCTAAATCCATTCACCACCATCCAAAAGAGGAAAGAAGACATGTGGTCTCCCTACCTCAAACTTCTATCCTCTAGGAGCAACATCTTACCCCTTGGTTTAACTATTCTTATACAAGAACGGTCTTCCTACCTTAGACCTCTAGAAACAAATATATTACCCCTTAGTTTACTATTAACAATAATATAGTAATCAATCGTTCTTATACAAACCAAATTCAAGCTCACCATTTTAAAAAAGAGCATTTTTTTCCATACCATCTTGTCTAGAAAATCCCAATCCACATGATTATAAACTTTTTCGAAATCAATCAGGATATTGACTCCTTCCTACTTATGACACATATAATCCTCAACAACCTCATTAAGAATAATGAATCTGATCCAAAATTTATCTTCATGCAACAAAAGCCCCTCAAGAAATAGAAACCATAGCAGGAAGAGTTTTTTATTCAGCCTATCAGATAAAACCTCAGTAATGATCTTAAATATCAAAACGTAACCAAGATAATTGGTCGAAACTCTCTAACCTTCTTTTTGCTCCTTAGGAATCCAAAAACTAGAAGTTTTATTCATGTGGAATCGATTGTACCTCTCTCATAGAGATCACTAAAGACCTTCCACAAATCATTCTTCAAGCTACATTTATCATGAAGGAAAGCCATCATAAGGTCATCCAAAGCTTGCCACCTAACCTCTATTATAGAGCCAAAGACTACCTCACAAATCTCTTCCAAATAGAAAGGTGCCTCCAATTCACCCTTACTAAGTTACCTTGCTCAAATGAAGCACATCACTGAGTTACCTTGCTCAACAATTTCAATTTAGAAAATGAAGGAACTTCAGGACCTCATAGAAGTAGTCTAGTTTAAATTACAGAAAATTTAAACTCGTTACTTGTACTTTCTTAATATTATACCAATATTCAGAGGTAAATCTAATTATGCAGATTATTTCAATTTGATTGATAAAGAAGGAAAGAGAAACCACAAGTGTTGTAAAGTTTCTCACTGAGGCAGTTGTCCTAGTTCACAACGTCAAATTTCTCACTCAGGTAGGTGTCCTAGCATACAACCTCAGGTTACTCTCTCCCTCTCTCTCTCTCTCTCTCTCTCTCTGGGAAAAAAAACATATCATTATTACCCAAAAAAATAAAAAACAAAAAGGGAGGAAGACGAACCTCCAAACTAGCCAACATAGACACTTTTCCCTCCAATTGACTAGTTTATGAAATGAAGACTAATTACACAAAGACTTTGGAAGAGTATACCATCTAGACATCCAACGCATTACTTTATAAAAAGACTTGTTCAATAGCAAAAGAATCCTCAAAATTTTATCCAAAGCATTGCTTTATAAAAAGACCTGGTCAATAGCAAAAGAATCCTCAAAATTTTATCCAAAGCATTGCTTTATAAAAAGACCTGGTCAATAGCAAAAGAATCCTCAAAATTTTATCCAAAGCATTGCTTTATAAAAAGACCTGGTCAATAGCAAAAGAATCCTCAAAATTTTATCCAAAGCATTGCTTTATAAAAAGACCTGGTCAATAGCAAAAGAATCCTCAAAATTTTATCCAAAGCATTGCTTTATAAAAAGACCTGGTCAATAGCAAAAGAATCCTCAAAATTTTATCCAAAGCATTGCTTTATAAAAAGACCTGGTCAATAGCAAAAGAATCCTCAAAATTTTATCCAAAGCATTGCTTTATAAAAAGACCTGGTCAATAGCAAAAGAATCCTCAAAATTTTCTCAGATTTCTCTCTAACCAAATATAGCTCATAACACCACCACACAAAAAAAAAAAAAAGAGTTCCGAAAAAAAATCTCTTACCAGAGAAATGCATACAAAATATGCCTTGTGCATGAAGGAAAACAATCAAACTATAGTAAAACAAAAATTGCATAATTTTGATGATAAAAACCATATGGGTGCTGGAGAAAAGAATTAAGCTTCAACTTGCTTGAAAAATGAGATAAGAGTAGGGATTATCTAAATCTTGATGATAGAAACCACAGTTATGGGCTCTGTCTTGTATGCATTATACCATAACTATACCTTCTTTGGACTGTTTTAGATCAAAGCTGAGCACCCTATCGAAAATTTATAAATATTTGGAAACCCAGCAAGTATTAGGTC